TACAAAAACTTGGCATGGGCATGGGAATGGGCACAAAAATTTAATATTTATTAATTAATTGTGCCTGGCACCTTTTTGCCTAGAATATTGTGCCGTGCCTATATAGTACCTGGCATTTGTGCCCATGCCTATAAAAATGCCTGGCATTTGTGCCCATGCCTATAAAAATGCCTGGCATTTTTGTACCCATGCCCATAATAATGCCTGGCCTTAGGCATGGGCATGGCATGAGGTATTAGTGCTTGGCCTGGTGCCAATATGCCTGGCATGCCCACTTGCAGACCCCTAGAGAACATCTTCCTGCGCTGCGAATACAGAGTTTCCAATTATATGATATAATTGGCAACGCAGGAAGATGCTCTCCTTATGCAAGCCCGGATTACACTCGATGTACCCTCTAAAATAGTGAGGGTACATACGTTCGGATTTTTAAAGGTTGATTTCACATACGAATTTACATGAATTCGCGCTGATTTAAGTACATTTTTTTACCTAACAGACAAAATTGCGTCGTATTTTTCCTATACCATAGTTCTAGACTAGCTTTACACCATAATAGATTCAGTTTTGCAATAATTTTCAAGAAATTTTGTTCTAATTGTATGGAAAGCTAACAAAAAATTATTACAAAAAGGGCTCTATTACGGTGTAGAGCTAGTCTAGAACTACGGGTTAAAAAAAAAAAAAATACGACGAAATCTTATCTGTTAGTTGGGTAAAAAAATGTTCCTAAATCAGCGCGAATTCATATATGTAAGTGAAATCAACCTTTAAAAAATCCGAACGTACTGTATGTATTCTAACTATTATTTGATTTTATTAGAATGTTGAACACTTTAATTAAACAAGGTAGGACAGCTGTTAAAAATCGAAAAAGACCACTGTTTACTGTATATTATAGTATACAGTATATATATTATTGTATATATATTGTACTCGAATTTGATTAGTTAACTGGATTTTTGTTGGAATTTTAACTGATATCCAATAGAATACAAGTGATTAACTTGCGGAAGTAAATCCTAACGCCAATATAAAAGTCATGAATATCGACAGAACAATAGCAAGACGCATAGCCGATACCCATTTATCCGTCGGATAACAAGAATTTCGGATTATGTGACTTAATAAGTGAATGGTTGAACTATAATTGGCAACTAATAGATTTGAAAATTTTTACCATCTCAGATCACAGTCATAATCAATTAAAACTCCAATGGCTTAGCCAAGCCACAAGATTTTAAATCTGCCTGAACACTAGTTAAATGTATAATTCTGGCCCATTTCCAGAAATTTTGGACTGCTCCACGATGATACGTATCTGATGGTTCACAGGATGTAATAATAATTTACTTGCAAGTATATTAACTTTATATGTCGAAATAATAAGATTATTTTCTATGTAGATTACAAAAACAATTAATGTATGTTTCATGCGTCTACCCCTATAAAATTATTATGAAACAGTATGGTTATTTAAAATTTATGAAAATAGTACTTTCGAAATATTATACGAAAATCTTTATACCTAAATTGGATAAAAAAAACGCGGATTAACCTATCATCTGTGTAATTTTATTATGCTATAATAAAAAGCGTGTTTATATATAAATATGTGTCTGTATGCTCCTTAGCTCTCGGTTATACTCTTGCTAAAACTATTTTATATATATCATTTAAATCGTGTATTTTATCATCGATAAAATAACGATGAATATCTATGAAACGAACCAATTTTCTGACGATTCTTATCACTTAACTCCCGTCGTCTTCAAACAACCTGATAACTTCAAACAACCTGATGATGAAGTGCAAAGTCTATTAACAAGTGACGGTTGGTTTTTCCGGCCGCCTGAGCATGGGCACGTGATAACAAATAGCGAAATGGTGAGCCGCATAGTGCAATATTACGAAGTATGTACTTACAATATGATTGCTCGAGTGAAACAAGTATAATTTTATATCCTAATCAATGTTGAGAATTTGGATCGACTTCTTCCACTGGACCTATAAGCTTGAACATTGGACTTATAGAATCCAAATCCAATTCACTTATAAGCATGACCACACTGATCCTAATACTTTTTATTTTGTATAGATGTTCGCAGTCAATGTGTTTCTTTTAGGATACAATGTTCTTAAAAATGCTAAAGCCGCTGTCTCAACTGCTACTTATAAGATTGTGTTATTTGAAGCATGTACTGATCGGTTTATTATAGAACAATTTGATTTTTGCGCTGCTTCCAGATTAATATGGGGATTAATTGGAGGAGCGATTGTCTACTTTACGTTTACATCCCTTATAGCAGTTGCATTGTTCTTTGAACTTCGAAGAAAAGGTTATCATGCCTCATTCACGGCATTATGGCATTCGCCAATGTTTTTAATATGTTATTTTTACCCTCCAGAGAAACGAGTTGACATTTTAAGCATACCAAACAAATTTGTCGGGCTAAGTTTATGGACGAGATCACAGATACATCGAATTTCTTTGGCATTATATTGCTTAATATGTACTATTTTGATATTTAATTCTTTATTTCATGGGTATGTTCGAATATTATATTTTTTAAATTTATTTTGCCAACTTTTTATCTCACGAATGCTTATTTGGCTACTTTTAGCACCGCGGAAAATTCTAAGATTGAGGGTGAAGGGCTAGATGAGGGATATAAAAAATGTACGTTTATACGTTTAATCATTGTCGAAGGTCGAAATGAAATCAGATTAAAGCGAAATTTGAGGCCACTTATATTCTTTTATTAACGATCCTAATTTTAATTCTCAAAAAAAAAAAATATATTAAAGTGTCTAAAAAAAATGCACACCCCAAGAAATTTATCACAATGCGCAATTTTCTAATTAATATAGGGCAAATTTCGTTTTAATCCGATTTTATTTTTAATTTGCTACAATTATTACCGAGTTTATATTAACTATAAAAAATTTTTATATTCAATTTACCATTCTAGTTTACAACCCATACTTAATCCCATATTATCTTGCTCTTTACATTTTTTTAAAAACATTATCGGAAATGCTTATTACTATAATTCAAGACAAAGATCTTAGAAATAAACCAGAAAGAATAGGAAGATATTATTTGTCTATTAGAGAACATGAATAATTTTAATAATAATAACCTTGCATTCTTTCTTATTATATAATAAATAGATAAATAGATAAAACAAATACTAAGCTTCTAAATTGATAAAAAATTTTTTTTTAATCAAGGGTAATATTTTTTGGTAATTAAATATTTGAATAACAAACTTAAAACTTTTTATTAAATTTTTATTATGTAAATATGCAGTATATTAAATTCTTAAAAAGATCATACAGTAAGACTGATTTCAAGTACATTACACCCTCCCAAAACCGATCCTGTTAAAACCGATAACCTGCTATAACCGATAAAAAATTGATCCGCCATGTCTGTTCCATAATTAAAACCCGATAACTTGCCATTTCTGATAACCGATACCAAGTCGGTTTGACAGGTAATATAAATCGATTTGATTGGCTCAGATCGGGTGTTGTGTAACAGATTATACATATCTGATATAAGAAATATAATCTAACCAATTATATTTAGTTAAGATCATGTGACAACAGGCTATCAGTATTTTAAATCTTATAACCTCAAAACTGATACAAAGGCCGTCCACCATTGGGGTGTCTAATGCATATCGATTTACAAACATAGTGCAGGTGATATAGTAAAAATCATTAATCAATTTTTTTAT